TTAGCCCAAGGAAAAAATCCACAAAACATGTCCAGACAATTTGGAAACACCCTGCATAGCTAGAAAGTGTAGCCGAGTTTCTTACTTGATCTCTATTTCTCTCAAAAGCGAAAACCGATCCTGGTTTATTTTGTATTTTTTTTATCTCACTTCTTGAGTAAGATAGTTTATATCATTTATAACGTATCTTACTAGAAGCCCGTTTTCAATTGGCACATGTACAACTTTCAGTACATTTAAATACAAGTTTCTGTATTTAAGTCATTTAAGCTATACATTTTCATTTTTATTAATCAAAGAAACCTCAGAAAAATCATGTACCATGTACGAGCTGAAAGTTTAGTAAATTTAAGATATATTTTCCTCAATCCCTAGATAGAAGGGCCATTTGAAAATTACGTTAACTGCATTTGTTTGAGACTGATCAACACAAATTCTTTATTACTCTCACACTTATGCCTAGCAAAGCCCAGCAACCAGAACAAAAAAAAAATTGAAAGCACAAAAGATACGTCAAATAACGCTTACTAGTGTACCTGTTGCTCGAATTCAAGCAATTGCGACGTATTATAGGCGTTATTTTAAAACGAATAACAGTCATAATTTCCGATGACTTTGAAAGAGTTGATTGAAAGATCATGGAAATACTCACTTTGTACAAAACTGTACGATATAATCAACATTTCTTATAAGTATTATAAAATTGTTCCCGCTCAAAGCCGCATTAGGTTGTCCATAATAACAATAAAAATATTTGTAAACAAATAATAAAAAAACATAATCCCATTTCTGCTACTTGGTGGTTTTTAGCGAATTTCCCTATAGGGAAGTAGCTATTACCGTAGGTGGCACGGTAAGACCTAGACCCGGGACCGATTTACTTTTTCATTTTGACGTCCCCAGAGGACAAAAACACTATTCGTTCAAATTTTTATATATGTATATATATATATATATATATATATATATATATATATATATATATAGACTTATATATATATACGTCCGTGAACACGATAACTAGAGTAATTTTTGTCCGATTTTGATGAAATTTGGTTTAAAGGTGTAAAGCGGGATAAACTTGAATGAGTTCGCGAACCAGCACGATCGGACCATGGGAACGGGGCTTTACGGGGGGTTTTATGGGGTAAAAATTGGTTTTTCTCACTTTTGACCCTCAAAACACAAAATTTCCCAATTTCTCTTTAGACCTTTTTAAAGAGCTTAAAAAAAAAAATAATTCAGCATATAAAAGTATTTTTGTTCGAATATTAGTAACGGAGAAAATTAAAAAAATTGTAAATTTAAAATTCCCATGTTATTCTTATGGAGAATATTGTCAAATGTTGTAGTTTGCTTGTTTATGAATATATTTTGATCAAACTTGGCAAATGTATTTATTTTGTACTAAGCTATCAATATTTTACTCAAAAACACACTTTATTAGTTTCCTTGTAGCAGCAAACCTAGGTACTCGTTAAACCTAATGTTATTAAAATATATTTAACTGAAAATCAATTCAGACAAATGGAAATTCGCTTAGTCGGCAGGTTTGCTGCGGCGGGGGTATTAATGACTTTCCTATGATTCCATAGTTTGCAAATCGGCTCTTTCAATGATTGTTCAAGAAATGCAGCACAGTGTTAATTCAGTTTTCTTTTTAGTATATCAAACTGTCCAGGCTTTCTTGCTTTTTTCATTGTAATATTTACGCCAACACAAATTCAAATAGTATTTAAATATTCCATTTCAACCAAGTCAGTAAATGTTTGATTGCAATCAAAATATTAACAGAAATTAAATTATCTAGCTGATCATAGTATAAACAAATATGTTCTTCATAAAGATAACGTGGGAACTTAAAACGCCACAGCCCAAGGGACTTTTTCAAAAATTTAAGGTCAGTTTGAAAATCTACACATCTAGAAGAATATTTTGGTATATAATATGTGGGGTTGAATCTTAAAACAAAAAAGCCTTATTGTTCAAAAATGTACATGTAGCGTATTAATAATATAAATAATAATATATTTACACTTATACTGTTTACTCACAAGACGGCAAGTACATATATATATATATATACATACAAAATTATATTCGTCTTTTGTGTATTTTTGAAGTGTCCATTCGGAATCGATTTTATATGTATATACCGACCTTACTACTGTATCTCTTTCTTTCTTTTATTCAACCCACCACGACTCATGATGTTTTTTAACACTCTAATACAGTTTTTTTATTAACCAACGGTGAAAAAATATTTTTCACCATTAATAGCGTGAGATTATTCATCTACCGACAATTTTTCACGTCTTGTTGGTATTTTTTGCAGTCTCGGATGAATAAAAAAACACATTTTAAATTGTAAAATAAAACGTTCATTGAGTCACATACTTTTCATGAAATATCTTCATGCCTATTTAAAGATTTAATGGAATAAATTTTAAAAATAGTATTTAAGGCCATGATGAAGATATCAACTAGTTTACCTACAGATATAAAACCTTGTTGTAAAGCTGAAGATTCTTTTAATTAACGTTAGGAAAATAAGTTGAGAAGTTGTTATGTACAACAGAATCAACAATTGACCGAACAAATTTTCGTAGGTGTAAATAAACTATGTTCCTGTCTAAATCAGACTTTTACTTAAAACTAGCTTTTAAAATCACATACTAAAATTTTATTTTAAAATCAAGTTTATATTAAGTCTAACTGATAAACAAACTAAAATATTGTTTTATTTTCACGGGTTTTTTAATGACTATTAACACACTCGAATAAGAAATATTTTAACAGATTGATGATTAAGAATTTTAGTTGAAACTATGTTGAAGTGGATATAGGTTTTTCAATATATAAATGTTAAAGTAAGATGAAGATCTATCTGTGTTTACCTACTAAAAATGAAAATTAAATTAAAGATAAATTGTCCCTAGTAAGAGGAGACTACTAGAAAACTTAACTGAATTTAGAAAAAGGAAAAAAACTTACCCAAAATGGGGGTAAGCACTGAATTTACTATTTTTTACTGTATGAAAACTGACTATGAAGCTGCACGTAACAGACAGCCTTATATATTCTCGGCATGATCAAATCTGTACAAGAAACTAAGCATCTGATTGGTTGATGATCCTTGCTTTGAGCTAAACTGGAAAACCTGAAATCTTATTGTACTTATTGTAAAATTCTCCCACTCTGAATTTAAATAGTAAATACATATTTTTATATTTGTAAACGATTCATTTAGAAAACTTAGCAAACAATTAGGTTTCAAAATCATTGAACTTAAAACCCAAAGTGGAACATTTTTGGAGATTTTTCTTCTTGGACGAAGTTTGGCAGTAGTGGTGTCCTTCGGGTTGACTTTTCCTTATCAAACAGCACTTAAAAGAGAATAATTTTGTTCAATAGGCTGTTAAATTGAGCAAGTCCTTCTGTCAAATTGAGTACAAGGCTGGTGGTATTGTAGATAGGTTCATCTAAACACCAAAAGGGGTCTTCAATGACATACCAATCAACATTCAGTTTAAAAAGCCATTTCATGTCTATGTCGGGTTCAGCATACAATGTTGTTGATGTTGATGATATACTTTGCTCAACAGTGCATGTATTTGGGCGAGCCATATTTGTTGCCATTGTACTTTCGTTTTGTATTTCTAACAGTCGGAGGCTTTTGAGAGCAGCATTTCTTCTTTTCATACACATTGATTTTGTTTCAGCATACGATTTTGATGTCAGACTCTGGTTTTTTGTACATGTACTTGGCTCTGATGTACTGTCTGATGTAACTGTCGGAGGCTTTTGAAAGCAGTATTTCTTCTTTAAATGCACATTGACTTTGGTTCAGCATACGATGTAGTTGATGTTGATGATGTACTTTGCTCAACAGTACATGTATTTGGACGAGCCACATTTGTTGCCATTGTACTTTCGTTTTGGGATTCATATATGGATGGGACTTGAATCTTTGGTTTCATACATAGTTTTACAAATTTTATGACCTCGATGAATAGTGGATGTCAAATTCAATTAAAATACGTAATGTATATATCTTCTGGTTTTATATATAAAAAAAAAAAAACACATATTGCTATGGTTATTTTGAATTTGAATTGTATATTTGTTGTATTTCACCTAGTTCTCTAAATTATCGAGATCAGAAATAACGCATTTCTGATACCTTAATGGTTAACAAAATTTACAAATACGTACAGAAGTGTGTCAATTAACATTTATTCCTCAAAATAATTATGAAAATACACTCTAAAATAACAGTATGATTATTTTACTATTAAAACTTACAATTGCTTTTCAGACATCTTTAAAGTATAATTTGTTGCTACATACCTTTTGGCAGATAGTAAAAAAACCCTAAAATGTTTTAAAATACGAAATTATTTCTCTAGATGGCTGGGTAATTCCGTTTACGAATATTGTAACTGTGTGTGACTCCTGACATTGGAAGTGTATCTAATTATTTTATTATTTAGTATTTCTTTGGTTAAAAACTATACTATTCTCACCAAAGTGAAGATAAATTTATAAAGAATCACCTTTTTACATTTTTATTTTTTATTGTCTAGCTATTTAATTTTGTTTTGTTGAATTTATCTAATGTTCCGATTGGGGTACTAGGTATATAAATATCTCCAAAATACGAGACTTATATTTTTAGCTATGCAATTTTTGTTCCCTGAATTTTATGTCATACTTCTCTGGTGTTCCGATTCAGTTACCATATAAATTTCTCCAAAACACGAGACTGATATGCCGATTGAAAAATGTGAAAAATGAAATCGGATCGGTTGGCAGTGGTGGGGGAGGATAGGTCTGCTCAGCGCGTTCAGAAAGGTCCCAGAGCCCGACACAACTGCGGACCTCACTCATTCCATCGCCGTCTCTATCTTAACAGGCAGTGAGTATACGTGGGTCTGTTATATTGTGCCGTGAGTGTACCGGTAAGTCCAAGCCACTGAGGAGTAGGTGTAAAAAAAAAGGTTCTGGAACAAAAAAGTAGTTGGAAAATAAAGGTTCTGGTACGACCGGATTGTACAGTGTCGCGCAGTGAAGTGTGAAGTGCTGTTTTGTGTTAACCAGGAGTGTCAAGGTAAAAACTTCTTTTTGAAATATTCTCTTGTTTAAAGTCCTCTCGAGTAGGCTTAACAGTGTTCGTAGTGTTCATGTCATTAGTACCATGTTTAACTAGTAATTTAAACAATATTTTTGTGAACAATGTAAGGGAATTATGTTCTTGCTCTATGTGATATATTAGTGTACACAAACTCGTAAAGTCATTTTTAGACATGTATTTTTTAAATATATGCTTAAACTACAAAAGAAGTTCTAATACACGTACAATGTGTTACTAGACTGAAAATAAATACATAATAATGTAACTACAAACAAATTCCATTCTTGTTCCAATAACCATATTAAATTCATACCTGTCATTTTACATTTGAAAAAGATTAATACAATGTCCAAAATTCTTAATTAGTAAAAATGTTTTACAATTTTATTTCATTTCATCTCACATATCTTAATTAACAAAACGTAAGTAGGAAAAATAGTCAAATGAAGGAGGCATAGTCCTTACTACATAACAATTATGTTTTACACTATACATACATGTTATTAAAAAATATTAAAATACTCTATTTTACGTTCAGAATTTATTTACAATAATTAATGTCATATTGATGAATTCTTATACATGAAAGTTATATTATTAGTTCATTTTATTGACAAGAATTAGACTATGTACCTTTTACCATAATTTCTCGATAAATTACACAAAATCGGTTAATAGGTAGTTTCCATATTAAACTAATCAATGAAGTAATAAAACAATTGTATTATATTTATATTACAACATAACGGACATAAGTATGAATTTTTACATTTAACAATATGGTTTTCAGTGATATAACAAATAAATAGTTAGTCATATTAATCTGAGGACTCTAGGAATATTTTTGAGAATCTTTCAAAATAGAAGTTTTTACTTTTTGTGTGTTTTTTATGAAATAAGCCTTCTTTACATAACCTAAAACTCGTAATTATTATCCGAGATGCGAAAATATATTACCTTGTTATTCCTACCTAGATTTTACTTTAGGTTGTCAAGAATCTATGTTATAATTCGTCGCTGTGAACCTTAAAAAAATCTCCTATGGATTTTGTATTATACACACAACACTCCAGGTTATATTTCGTCACAGAGGACCAAAAAAACTCCTTTATCATGAAAAAAAACTTTTTTATTATACACTCAACACTTATAAATCGTGTATCCAACAACCACTAAGAACTGATATATATAGTTTCTCGAAGAAATTTAATTTACATCGTATGCACACTTATTTACCACTCACTTTAGTCTAGTTATGGGTAGGCCCACTAATAATAACATTTTTGAAAATATATATATGTTTCCCCTAACCATACACAACTAATCTTAGTAACGCATGATTGAATTTAAAAAATCATAGATTCGAAATTTAAAATTATTATTGAAATAAATCCAAAGTTAGTTTATATATTTTCCCCGTGTTTAACCTTGAAGTTTCATTTCAATTTCTTGTTACACCTGAATCGTTTACAAATACATATGTACTATGTCTTATTAGTTTTAATTAAATGCAAAATTATGACGAAATTTACCACTTTTAATTATGTATCATATCAAATAAGGAAATTAATTTCTTTATATTCATCCATTCATTGACAATAAAATAAATCTAAGTTGCATTCACTAGTTTGTTTATACCTATATACTCCATGCACAATCTTTCCCAATACATTTCTTACATCTTGTTGTACTAAAATTATCATAAAGCCAAACAATTTTACTTGAATAAATCAATTGACTTAGAAATTACAAAGCTTACAGCATGATAATGGTAGGAGGAGGATAGTTTATACATCAAACAATTAGTTGTTCTGATTCTTGTGTCATAGTAATCGTTACAATTACACCCCAACTCATCGGGTTCAATAATAAGAGCGTATAATAGACTTGTGATGTAGCTGAGGTTTAAATTGATTCTGTTATTCTGTTATTCCGTTATTTGTTGCAAGTAAATTCAGCACTTTGGCAATGACACATTCATGTCTTTGAAAATCCCCCATTGATTGTGTAGATTTTGGCATAGAAATGAAAAAAAGTTGGTAACATTTTTCAGTCTTTTTCAAAGGGGTTTTACTTAAATTGTTTGAGATATTTTCGATATATTTTAGATGGCTTTTTTATTAGATGCGGAATTATCATGAGGTATTACTTGAGGTCTTGTAGAATTTTCGTTGTTACTGCTTATTAAATTAATACACACAAATAAAATTTTACACAATTGTACAATTACATTTTAAATGACACAAAATTTTTATATCATGTTTTAGATGCATGGCCCATCTACTGACATCTCTTCTTGCAGTACTTCATCTATATATACTCATTACCTTCACACTGTTTTTCTCCCACTACTGTTCATTGCATTATTACATCATACAATTATTTCTGAAGTGTCATATCATATCAAACCATGTGAATCGAATTAATTTTTATGATGGCTCATCTATGAATGGAGATCGATGGATACCTTAAATTGTGTATTCCGACTGTGTTTTTAAGATATAACATTATAATTTTACTTTCATGAAATGTTGACTTTTTAAATTGTACATTAAATATCGAGTTGATAAGAATAAAATGTTGGTTGTACACAGGTTTTTCGATTCATTGTTATTGATTTCTACTTTTGATTGTGGGGGGCGGGGGGTTAGGGTATGTTTCCTGCAATTTATTAAAATATTTAAAAGACTGGTTTATCCTACATTCTCCCCACACTTCTGCACATAAAAATACAACCATAAAAAGTAAGTAAAATAATCGTGACACTACAAAATTAAAAAATAATCCTTCTCATATTCTCATAGTTTAGGTGTATTTTTCCTTAGTTGTTTATTGTTATTCCAATTTGTATGATTCATTTTAGTGCAAACTTTGTATAGATTTAAGTTCAAGACACACACAAAAAACAAGTTCAAGTTCAAGTTCATACTTTAAAAACACCAATAGACATTAAAATACTCTTTTTATACACTAGACGTCGTAAAACACTTAAGGGTCAGTAGTATTTTTAACTCTTTGAATTTGTATAGCCCGACTTTCTGTAGAAACAGTATTTGGTTAGGTTAGGTTCAAAGTAAATAAACAACTGTTATAAAATACTGACCCAACTAATAGTTATTTGTGTAACTAGTGAGGGAGGCAGTTTGCACTCGTGTAACACATTATATTTTTCCTGCTGTTATCATATAGATAATTAGTGCTTTCAACTACTGTACAACAAGTTTTTAGGTTAGGTTAAATCCAAAGATTGAACGAAATGCGAAACGCTGCACCAGCTGATTGTAATCGTATATTTGTAAGCGTTGCCAACTTATCTTCAAACGTACACAAATTATGTGCATAATAAAAGCACGCTGCTTTGTGTTGTTTCATTGGAACACTGGTGTGCGCCAAAGTAAAAACTGTGTGCCAAAGTAAGGCTTTCTGTACTATAATCCGTGCAATGAATCCCACTTTATCGGGTGACTGTAGGAAAATTAATTTACTTCGCCGTAGCTTTTATCCTTAGGTGACCTCAGTTGTCTGTTCACTCGTGCAAATGGTTAAAACTATTTACAATAGTCTTCATTTAAATTACTCTATGTTTGACAACCATTAGTGGAAAGTAGGTTTAATGGGTCCTACATATTTGATTATAGATATGACCATGGTATGCTTGAGGTTTACGTTTGAGGTTGGATGTATGTAGCAGGCTGTTTTATTCAGCAATGTTTCTGAACTGCAGCTAGACTCTATTTTGAGTCCACCACGCCCGTGTAAGGCCAGCTACTAAAATACAGCTGGCAGCGCTCGCACTGTTCTAGACCGTCCTTTACTTGTCTTTAAATCTTTGATAGATTCGTATGTAGTCACTTAAGGTAAGTGCTGTTCTTATATGTACAGGTTAGGTCAAATTTTTAAAGTCCTTTAGCTTGACAAATTCTATTGTACTTGCAGATTGTAAATTCTTATAAGTCAAAGAAAACCATCTAATACATCTAAGCGATCTTTTTGGGCCGATAACCTCTGTTTTGAAACTTCAAGGTTTATTACAAATTTATTAATCGTTGTAGGCTCCGAAACTGCTAAGTTGTAGTTCAAAAATCGTAATTTAAGAAATTCAAATTAAGGTTATGCATGTTTTATTAACCATGTTTAAACAGATAGTTCAATACCAAATTGATAATAATTTTCATTAGTACCATTATCTTGCCAAAATGTAGTCAAACGTTTTCCTATCCGAGCCTGAAAGTGTGATTTTATTTGCTTATGACGACTATTCACTACCCTAGTAACGAGAGGAATCCTGAATAACTTGGTATCAAATTTTAAAAGTAACGTTTAGTTTCAAAACCAGTCGACCATTAACAAATTAAAACCACTGACATACAGTATTATAATTACATTAACGTGATCTAGAAGGCTAAAGAATTTTTTTTAACTCGTTGAATTTTTAGAACATTAAAAAAATACAAAAATACAAAGTAGAGCATCAGTTTTAGTTATACATAAATCTACTAGCTATTTAAAATTGCATGTTTTTTAATACATTAATATTCAACTTCGTTTCAATTTAAACGTATGAAGGGATTATTTTAGTTAAAGTAATAGCTAGTTCGTATGGAGTACACATTATTTTACGCCTAAAATAATCCCTAACAAGTCTACGCGACACTTTCTTTCCAATGAGACGTCAATGGATAAAATCTGTTAAGAAATGGCGAAGGAGTTCAACCGACAAACTTCGTGTTCGCGTATTAATTATATAGACCACAATTTTATAATTAGAAAATGCCGAACCCCCTTTAAGATAAGCTTGTGAAATAGGACGAGTACTAAATTACTTTAGAGTTAATAGAAGGACACATATATAAAATATTTTTAATCTACTACAAAGTGGCTTGGACTTTACTGGTACATTTGCATGATATATTTAGTACTATTTATAGTATAACCTTAACTTAACTAATTAGGTCTTTATGTGCATTAGGCCAAACAATCAATAGTAATATTGTTTTACAATTCGTAATTAGGTTTTTTTTAAGTTTCTGAACTTTATATCTATGGATTGACAAACGAATTTATTTATGTGTTTTATACTGTGTTACAAGCATAACATACAACTTTGTTATTTCTATGTGACTCAAAAGATACGCACGATATAAAGGTTGAACAAAGTACTTGTAAGGTTAAAAATATAAACTTAGCCTATAGTTACATTACTTTTAATATGATGTATAATTAACATTCTTCTGTCAGCATCAAACCAAAAACTGTATCATAAATCTTTACCTGTGAAAATTACGAAATTTGTACTTTCAATTTAATAGTATATTACGTTACTAGTCCTGAAAAGGTGTTTACCATACCATAGGGATTACCATACGAGTCCGGTAAACACATTTTGGACGAGTGACGTACGATATTTTACGCCATACTACTAAATCCTTAGATTATCACCGACTAAAGGAATAACAATCATAACCTCTAAGAGAGGTTATGGTTTTGTTTATAAACTAACCACTCTCACTCATTACAAAATACAGTATAAACAGCTGATTAATGTCCGGTAAAACTCATTACAGTACAAGAGAACGTTATGAAACCCCATTTGATTAAGCAGATGGCAAACAGCTGTTTTCTTGACTAAATCCTTGCGTGGGAAATTTTGTCAAAACAGTGTAGTGTGGCGTAAAGTATTTTTCGAATCAGACTATAGCCTACGTTAAGTATTTTTTTCATAACATCTAAACGTCAATATTTCCCTTATAGTTTATTATGGTTATAGTCAGTATTAACATAGCCTCCGCCGATACAATGCCACTGCGTTGGTATATGGCAACGTCGCACCGGCCCGTTGCCATGGTAATAACAGTAATAACCAACATGTAAACATAAACAGCTGTTTCTGTAGGCCGGGTTTGTGACGTTGCCACTTTTGTCTCGCCACGGCCTTGTATTATAGGAAGCTATGTTATTATTTCTTTGTATGTTAATCATGTTTTGTTTTATTTCCAGCCCTTCCTAAAGCTTGAAACATGTCGGATGAAGAGGATGTGTACTCGTAAGTCGTTCTATGAATAGAGAGTCCAAGACTCTATCTCATTTAGTACTTAAGTTTTCAAATAATTCTTCTCGCTACTATCTTGCTTCTCCTGCTCCATTCATTCTGCTATGCATCAATAATTTCTTTTATCATGCTGTAAACATTTTGGCTTATTTTCAAAACCAAACCTAACTATTCGACGTAAAGTTGCTTTTCAATTTACCAATGACTTTGGTGTGATTTTTTATGACAGTATAAAGATGACTTAACTGTGCTTTTATGTATATTAAAATATAAGGTGGATAATGAGAATCTTGATCCTCATTAGTTACCATCAATGTATCAAACATTTTAATACAGATTAAAAACTGTAAGACATAAATAGATATTCCATTTTTGTCTCTTAGTTGTAACCAGTCTTAGAATATTTAATAAAGTAATGTTATTTCATTTCAGCTACTGATTGGGTTCCCTTAAGTATTTTTATGTCTTAACACAATTTTTTTAAATCATACTGAAGAGGCAATTCAATATTTAGCAAGCATTTGTCCACTCTGCATTAAAAAATTACATCTTTTTTTATAGAATGATTGCTACAGCTGTTCTATTTAGATTAGATGTTTAGGCCTACTTCAGTATACAGAGTGTCCATAAAAGTCGTCTGAGGACTTTGGGATATGAATGCTCACACTAAAAAAAAAAGAAAAAGGTTTACCTGAAGGTATGTCCGAAAATGCAAATTTACCTAGATATCCGCCATTTTGTTTTTTATACATAACTCCTTTTATTTTTGAAGTTTTCAATCGATTATTATGAAACTTGGTAAGCATGTTAACGTGCCCAAGACCTATAATAAGATCCATTTTGAAATGTCTAAGCGGGCCAACTTTATTTTTTCTATAATAGTTCTTGTGTACGTTAGCATGCTTACCAAGTTTCATAATCATCGGTTGAAAAACTTCAAAGAAAAAAATAGTTATGTGTAAAAAAATACCCCCACCACAGCAAACCTGCCGACTAAGCGAATTTCCATCTGTCTGAATTGATTTTCAGTTAATTATATTTTAATAACATTATGTTTAACGAGTACCTAGGTTTGCTGCTACAAGGAAACTAATAAAGTGTGTTTTTGAGTAAAATATTGATAGCTTAGTACAAAATAAATAAATTTGCCAAGTTTGATCAAAATATATCCATAAACAAGCAAACTACAACATTTGACAATATTCTCCATAAGAATAACATGGGAATTTTAAATTTACAATTTTTTAAATTTTCTCCGTTACTAACAATCGAACAAAAATACTTTTATATACTAAATTATTTGTTTTTTTAAGCTCTTTAAAAAGGTCTAAAGAGAAATCGGGAAATTTTGTGTTTTGAGGGTCAAAAGTGAGAAAACCCAATTTTTACCCCATAAAACCCCCCGTAAAGCCCCGTTCCCATGGTCCGATCGTGCTGGTTCGTGAACTCATTCAAGTTTATCCCGCTTTACACCTTTAAACCAAATTTCATCAAAATCGGAAAAAAATTACTCAAGTTATCGCGTTCACGGACGTATATATATATATATATATATATAAGTCTATATATATATATATATATAAATACATATATAAAAATTTGAACGAATGGTGTTTTTGGCCTCTGGGGACATCAAAATGAAAAAGTAAATTGGTCCCGGGTCTAGGTCTTACCGTGCCACCTACGGTAATAGCTACTTCCCTATAGGGAAATTCGCTAATAGTCGATAACTAGGTAAATATTTATTTTCGGAAATTTCTTAACATAAATATTTTTTTCCTTTTAGTACGAGGATTCATATCCCAAAGTCCTGAAACGTTTGTTACGGACACCCAGTATACAAGACCGTGGTGTTGGTGTGTGGCAACGTCGTACCGGCCGGCCTATTGTCATGGTAATAACATAAATGAAAAACATGCAATCATAAACGTTACACGGTCACTCCAATATGGATCAGTGCAACAGCTGTTTCAGTAGGCCGGACCTGCGGTGTTGCCGCTTTTGTCTCACCGCGACCTTGTATTAGAGGAGACTTTATGTCTTTTTTGTGTAAAATCATACTATAAAATATATTATGTTTTTGTATTGAGTGAAATATTGAATGAATGAGAATAAATTGTGATTGTATACGTACACGTTTTTGTCTCGTGGTCATGTATTTCTGTCTAATAGTCATTTAGTCATACATTTAGCATGAAAATATTATGCATGTTGCGTTACAAATATGAAATATATGCATATAAATATTTTAATGCATGAAGATGGGGTGTATGTACTCTCTTGATTTGGTAGTTTGATTATAACTACTCTTTTAGTTTCCTTTGTTACACTTTGTATTTGTATATTGTAGTTGAGTACATTAAAATACATTATTATTTATTTGGTTGTACACTAACGCCAAATACTATTTTTTTTACATCGCAGTGTTTTTCATCCCACCATCAGTTGTCGTTATTATAAACAGCTCTTCAGTTTCTTCTATTGTCAACTTTAACTCAAACCCTCTAGCTTTTACAATTCCGTATTATATAACCTATAAAACCTATGTTTTAAGTACAGATTAGGTACATTCAAAAATTTTTATCAATTTTCAATCAATTACAGTAAGAAGACATGTACTACTTGTGCTTTATTTTCTTTTAACACTTGTTCACCATCATCAGCTTTTATAATTGCTTATTTTAACCAATAACAATATTGCTAGTTCTTCAAGTTTTCATCACCTTTGCTGTCGCTTCTACAGCTTTGCTTCTCTTTTTAGAGTAAGTATCTTTAAATTACTTTTATTAGTATTATTTAGTAGCTTATAATCCTTTCACAAAATTTAGGTTGTTTAATGGGAAGCGTTTCCATCCCCTCCACCTCACCCTAACATTAAAACAACAGCTGACAGATGATCAGCTGATATTAACCTAAAAAGGTGGTGGGGGAACTTAAGAAACCTTCACCTTAAACCGCCTAAATTTTGTGAATGAAGTAGTTATTCAGTCCTTTTTATTTTTCTTTATATACTTCTCTATAGAGGTACCTATCTAATTGTTGTATAACAATATAATCAAGTGATTAATCAATAAAATTGTCAATACCAGCTGTTCTAAAGTGCTGGGATTTAAAATCCAACCATTCATTAATTTAGTATTTATAGTAAAATATTTTAATTGTAATCATTTTATTGAAATACAAGTAAAAAAACATATTACAGAAAATCACTTATAAATTTATAGAAAGTTAAAATTTACAACAGCATAATGTTAGTTATTCTTTGTTTATTCTTTGGCTTATTTATATTCTTTTTGCCTTTTTTTAACTTTGATTAATTTTGTTTTTCTTTTGTTTTCTTTCAGTGAGGAGGAGGAGGAAGAGGCGTAAGTGTTCTGACTTCTCTACAATAAACTTTAATTACTTTTAGAATATGTTTAGAGTAATATTTATTATGGCAATTTTCCTCGAAAATTTTAGGACAAAGTTTAGGAAGTTATACTTTTAGTTACTATAAATGTTGCATAATATGAAATACTTATTTTAGTAACACTTAACCAGTCCGTACCTTTAAAAAAATATATTTTCATTGCTTATAAATTTCAAAACTACAATTACATATTCTGTAAAATAAGTTATTTCAGTTCACTGACTGATTTTGAAAATGAATTTTGGTTTTCAAACGTTCTTAAAAAGTAATAATCTATCTACACTTGGGTTACACATATGAAAGCCAAGATTTTTTTTTAAATTACGTTTGTATTATATTTCTCATAGCTATATTTAGAGGTAATCCGTTCTAAAGTAAAATTGAAGTACACAATTTCGCCTATACCACAACACTACTTATGTTTTTATGTACATTTTCTACTGGAATACTAACCTATACAGTGAATAACAATCTTTTCATGTATCATAAACAAATACTAAACTCAATTCTTTATCTATATATTTGTACATAAATATTTAATAATATTATGCTCACTATAATGTACTAGTTTATTTACATGAATTTGCCTCTTAACCATTTTTAAAGGCAGATATCTTAGTATTATGTAAATAGGTACAGTATTTTACTTACAAATTACAGTTTTACTAAATGCGTGAAAACAAGGGGATCAAAGTACACACAATTGTTTACTTATATTATCTATTTAATATGTAAGATAGGTCGAAGGGATTTCAATTTGTTATAGAACCATACGGAAAGCGGCATGAAACCGCGTCTAAAAATATTTAATTATAGGTCAATATCGTATTATTCTTGTAAGCGTTTTTGCAATATACATAATATTCCTTGTTTTAATAACTTTATTCAAAATAGCCGTCTTATCTCGATTTAGAAATATGAAATTAATAATCCTAGAATATAGTTTAATTTAAAACTTTATCGTAAATCTTTAACTTTCAATTACGGGTTTTCTATCACAAAAAATAAAGTCTGTGAACATATGGAAAGTTATAATTTATAAATAAACCAAATTTACAAATATCAGAACGAAATGTTATGCAAATTTATAAAACATGTATAGCTGACTGTTTTAACTGTTCAATCAGTGAATCCGATTTGATACAGAATATATTACTGGTATTTTAGTGATTTGATGACAATTAAATAAAATAACATTTAATATAAAACATACGAAATATCAGTTTCGTAATTATTGTTTGGACGCCATTCCACCCACAAAACAAGAAACATAATGAAGATATCTAAAATGTAATTTTATAACTCTAAAACTGTTTTATTAGTTATTACAATAAATTTTGTAATTTGTCAGCTTGATGACTGTGAAATTCTGTTTGTAGGAAGTAAGTTAAGGAGAACCCCCTGATACTTCGCAAGTAACGTTTTTTCTAACATGAATTATTATTATAGAATTAACAGGCTTCGTTTGGTAAGCTTCGGTATGCTTATAGAAACATTGCTTTGTCGTGTCAATTTACATATAATAAGTTGAAAGAGAATTCTCGAAGATGATTGTAGTTGTTCCTTAAGATGTTTTTTTAATATTGTTAATTTATAACTCAAAACAATTAAATCAATATATATTTATGTTTTATTAAATTTATTATTTTTTACTTGGATACATTTCAAAATTATTATCAATATTGACTAATTAATAAAAATTAGTCTCAAACAAATATTTAATTACAAAAAAATAAATTTAAATTTCAGATATTATTTTTTAATTAAAAAATATATCATACTGGACATTTAAGTTATTTTTAAATTAAATTTTCACTAGGGCCTAGTAAGACTAAGTAGTTATGGTTTTAAAATTCTCTTTCAACAGCAAAAAAAAAAAAAACAGGTAGCATCTAAGGTGCATCGTTTCAGTAATAAATACAGTAGTAGTCTTGCGTAATTCTTCTATTTCAATAGTCTTTGCTACAGTTTGGTTTTGTAGTTCAAAAAAATAATTTAAAGCTTTACTATTCACGCAAGTTCTAATATTTTCTCGCGCTGTATGCTTAGTAGAAATTTTGTTCATGGTAGAAAAAAAATATTCCTTTTTATATAGCTAGAAATATAGAAAACGTGATTCTAATTACAGTATTCTTAAATGCTTTTGGAATGATCGATTTCTCGCTTGTGTAATTTTGAAGGTTGATACTTTTATGAGTAAGTAAAATAAATCTTACTTAAAATTATGAAATATTTTCGAGCTGTAATTTAAGTGCTTGAGTTTATGGATTGGTGAACAATACACTATGGGTAATACATAATGTTTTCTCTTTATTAATGATTATGTTTTTCATTTTTTCTTACAGAGAGGCTCCACCCCCACCAAAGAAAGAGTAAGTTTTCGCGAAGTTGTTTTTGTTCGCTCTCCGTTTTTATTTTTTTGATTGGTCAGCCATTGGCAAACCTTCCTAGAAGTTAATTGATCTGTTGAATACTAAAAGTTGTCAGTAGTAGAGAAACGGGCATTCTGGGCCGGAAGTGACTTTTAAAGTGGGTTATCTGGCATATTTTGTTACTGTAATTTTATATTGTATTACTGGAAAGAATAAACACATCAGAGTCCATTCTTTACATAGATTAGGAAGGTTTGTCAATTAAAGGGTTATATATTTTTACTAATATTATTATTTAATTCAAAGCTTTTGACCTAAAACATTCCACCCTATTGGCAGATTTTAATTTTTTGTAAATTATGTTTTTTTATTGCTTTTCTATTGATTTTTGCAAATTTTGTACTTTTAATTTTTGTTGAATCATTTATGCTATTTATTGTTCGATAGGTATTCTTTTTCACCCTCAGTTTTTTTCCCTGTAATTCATTATTGATAAAATATTAAAAAGCTATATCGATGAAACTATTTTTTTAATAAAACCAGCATATTTTTCAATTTCAAAATTAATAATTAACTTTTTTAAATAATTACTATGAGTATTTTTTATTTAACTAAAAACATTTCTTGGTTTAAAACCATATACTTACACTTTACTAGAGATTAAAAGCTTCGTTGCCGAGGGATTACCTTCGCAATCATATACTTAAACTCGTGTGTGGTAAAGTAATCCTGTAGACGGCAAAAAGGTTTTAAAATTCATTTTCATAGCCCCAGGATTGCGTAATATTTAAAAAGGTTTTATATATAGTTTCTATTGAATACTGGTAAAATATAGAAACTATCCATTAATTATATTATATTACGCCTATATTTATTTTATATTTATTTTATAATTTATTTTCCTAAAAAGGAATTAAAATATTAGAATAAAATAAAAAAAGTAAATTAAATTTTTATTTTAACTTAACTAAATATTAGAATTTATTGAAGAACAACATGTTGTATGTTTCAATTACAATTAATTGAATTATAATATTAATTAGTTCTTGAAAGAGTTTATAAAATTTATTTTTAAATTTATTAAACATTTTCATTTTACTATAAATAATCCTAAAAATAATTTAAATATCATGTAAAAATATTATTAGAACGATAAATATTGTATTAAAGCTAGTTAATAGCTTTCAGGTCCTAGTCTTTTTATAAAACTTTTGTTTTACAATATTCATTTACAATTAAATTAATGTAACACCAACAATGGTGAAAATATAATATATAATAATAGAATATATAATATATAATGTTTCCTCATTTATGTAGTTTTTGTTCATTGGTGTAAAATTTGTTTTGATATATTTTACTGTCTTTTAATTAATACCCTAATGATATAGGGGCTTACCTGTTTAGTAAGTGCTATAATATTTGTTGAGCGTTTACTGTACTTTTGATTTTTGTGTGTAAGCAGTAACATAAGCTTTTTTTCTCGACTGTATCACCTAATATTTACTGTTTAAGTTTCTGTACACTATTCTTAAGTTATGTATTTCTTAGGGCTACTATTTGGTAGCCGTTTTATGTGTTTTAATGAAAAAAAAAACACATAAAGGTCAGTGGTAGTTAAATTCTATCATAAGCTTCAAGTGTTTTTTTATTCTTCGTTCGCCCCCAAAGGAAGTAAATTGGTAGCTAGGTCAGCATGAATTGTATTCCAAACAAATAATGGCCATTAGATTACTTGATTTCTTTTAAATTTGATTAATATTTACCATTATTAATTAAATAGTGTGAAATTCAGATCGGTTACTCTTTGAGGCTGCAATACTACAAGAATGATACTACCAGAATGATAAAAATCCTTACAAGTCTTGTGGTTTAGTGGTCGACTTTTATTAGTTAGCTATGGTTAGACTTTTATAATGTTGGGATAGCCCAACGAAATAAGGGGGTGTATACCACGTTAAAATGGGACACAGAGTATTAGTCGGAAAATCTGACATTTTTGCTTTTGAACAATGTTTTTCTTTTAGTTACTTATAAAAAGGGGTTGAGTCCCAAACAAAGCGAAATAAACATTATAAAAAAATAATCACTCATCCAGGGTCCGTTGGCTCCGTAGTTAGAATGTGGAACTTTTTCTGCAATTTCCAGGTTCAAATCCGTTATACACCAATATATTGATGATTAATATGACGATCAGTGGTTGTACCACTTCATAAAACTGTCGATATTTTAAATATAAATAAAAAAGTTAGCTTTCTTAGGCGAGGAGAACAGTTTTGTATTTGACATTTCTCTACATGAAATTTTACAATTACCCAGCTGCTTATTGTTCTGATGTTTTTGTCTTTGTCAAGTAATCAAATGACCATTTTACCAAATTGATGTGTAGTCTAGTATATTAGTCTAGAGCTTATCTAATAGTTGATCTTGTTGTTTCTAGTGCTAGACCTTCCATTTCTCAGAAGTAAGTTCCTCCGAACCTATCTAAAGTCGGCGAGTGCAGGTTTTGAGTTTTCCCTGGTTTTCAGACTCCATTTGATGTCTTAACACAGCCCCAAATCACAGTTTTTGAAAGCACGGTTTTTGATATTTTATGTGCTTTGATATTTTTGTACATAAAACCTCACTCACTGGTTGGGTTTTTGTAAGTAACCCGCGCTTTTTGTTCACGCCATTTTGTAAATAATCTTCACATACGCAACGTGAAACACAGACTTTGCCGGTTTAAGGCGCAAATTGAATGTTTTTGAATCACAATATCGATTTTGTACAAAATCTAAATGGTATCCGTGCATGTGAATTAAAAATGTTCCAGGTCAACAGCAGTAAAAAGTGATCCGATTTGCTAAAAACAACATCTCAAATTAAGATATATTTCTAAGTGTAAAATATCATACAAAAAAGTTTACAATTTCAACTTTTAAACAACATAAAGTAGTCCCCTTCACGCAAGAACTTTTACGGTAAGTTTTTGAAAAGATAATTGGTAAAATTGATATTTTAAACTGAAACACGTGTTACCTAGATAACAAAACTTATACTCTTATGAGAACTTACAAAAATATATATACTTACTTTCGTATTCTTATCATTCCATTTAACTTGTTACTAATCATTCTCTCAATCATTCATTCAGTCCATCCTTTTTAATAGAAATCCTCATCAGTTCATCTAGTGTAAGACAATTTACAACACATCGTCAAAAACGTAATTTACTTATATATTTTAAATATACACCACTTAAATAGAGGCTGAAATTCAGGTACGTTAATAGAATTATATAATTAGAAGATTATAATCGCATAATAAATTCAATATGTAAACAAACATACCTTTCGTGTATTTTAAGTTTAAATTTAAATTTGATTAACTCTATGTCAGCTGTTATCTCATGAAAATTGGTCAAGAGAATTTAATGTCATTTCACCATCAAAAGCAACCTAAGAACTTAGCCTGGTGTTGCATGGTTTTTATTCAATGTTAAATGTGTGTTAAATGGGAGAATGATTCGATTTTTCTTCATTGTAAGCTATTGGCTGTTCTTGCAACTGCCGACTCGCTCATTAAGTATTGGTTGCATGATGAAAATCATTCTTTTATATTTTAATATAATTAGGTTTATTTACAAATTTGTATCCACGTTATGTAAACGTCAACGTTTTTGGAACCCCTTTTGATTTCCAGAAATCTTTTGTAATGCAAGCTAAAATAATCTGTCTGTATCCAGATAACAAAAATTAGACACTGTATTTTGTCAACTCTCATTTAGAAGTTCCTATTTGAATGTGTCACTGTGTTTGTTGCATGTAAATGTTTCAACAATGTTCAGTAAATGTATTTGTATCGTGTCAAATTTGTATGTCATTGTATGAATGGGAGGATAAATGTTCTACGTACGGTAACGTTTTAGAAACAAAACTATACAACCTGTTATTTAAATGTCTGAAATAAAAAGTATTTACATTCTCTTATCGCTGATTTAACTTTTTAAGTACTCAGTAATGTGACAAGCCCTTCTCACTGTTTTCAGGGGTGAGGGAGGAGACCCCGAGTTCGTCAAGGTAAGTTTTTCAATCTTAAAAAAAGTTAGAATATTCCTTAAGAGGGTTTTACCCGCAGGCTGGTTACCGCGTTAACATGGTCCAACAAAAAAGAACCCCGTAGCATTAATTAAGTGTTTTATCGTGGTGAAATATACTGTAAAATATTCACAAAGATCAATACTTTGCACAGGATGAACAGAAACTTCGTAATTGTTTCTTTAAGTATTTGCAAAATCATTTTTAAAATCGGTAGATTAGTCTTTTTCACATGCAATTCTAACTTCTAAATAATAGTTCAAAATTATTTTTCCCCGTCCATTGCGAGCACTGATATGTTAAGAGCCCAAAAAGCACACAATCATTAGAAACAAACTAGTTTTAGAATGTTGAGAGCTTGAGAAATAGAGTGATGTTCAATTTTGAACCATATTTCAATCCATAAAATGTACCATCTTGAATTAAACTTAAGGCTAACGGGTAGAACCCACTCAAACTACATGGCATAAGCCCACGGTTGAAGTAAATGATCTTAGGGAGATAACTCCAGCTGGCGAGTATTTCCTTTGGTTCAAAAAAATATTTTAACTTTAAAATTTTATATAAAGTGTTTAAAACAAAATAATTTAAAAAAGGGAACTATGTTTTTTTTTCTATCAAAATTAAATAGAATATAAACTATCACTATTTGAATAAAGCAGATTATTTTATTGCAAACGTTTTCTAAAAATTATATTTCAAATCAGGTTAACATTTTTCTAGTCATTACGTTTTTTGTTCTTTCACAATCTATTGTTCCAAACAAGAAGATGCATTTTCGTTGTTCTATCTAATGGTGGCTGTTCTTAATAGTTCTCTTAAGGTAGAACCTAATAAAATCGTAAAGAATTTTTTGAAATCGAGGTATCACTTTTGTTCAGTAAAACAGTGACTACGCTTTTAATAGTTAGTTTGCCATTTAAGTAAAACCATTATAATAATAACCACAAACATATTTTTTTACCAACATTCACACTAACTCAAAGATTCCTATTACGATGAATGTTCTTTTGGTCTTAAAGATTTGCAAACCCATAGGTACAAACCTTAGACATTTCTTAAGGTCTAATCCATCGCTGTTTAAAGATAACAATAGAAATATAAATTGTTTGTTCAATTACAGCGTCAAGAAGCCAAGACATCTGCCCTTGACGAACAATTGAAGGAATACATTGCAGAATGGCGCAAGCAACGGTCAAAGGAGGAGGACGACCTCAAGAAACTGAAGGAGAAACAGGCCAAGCGAAAGGTACGAAAGATCAAGTAAAATACCTTGAGCAATTTTTATAAAAAGTTTCGGTGTTTTTAGCAAGGCAAATCGAAGCTTTGATTACTTATAGTTACTCGTATTTATGTTTGTTTATTTGATGGATTTATAGTTAAAATATATCTTAAAAAATTAAAATCTGTTACTATACAATACAAATATGAAGGTAAGCAATCACCACAAACACGTCTAATCAGACTATATTTAATATTAATATTTGTAGTAGAATATCCGTAGTATTTTTAATCTAAAACATTTTTTTTACATTCCACTGAGCAGGTCTAAATAAAAATTTAAAATTTTTAGAGACGTGCATTTAATATAAAGAACTAGTGCACGTGTTGCTCGAATTCAATTAATTGCAAAGTATTACAGGCATTATTTCAAAACGAATAACAGACATATCATAATTTCCAATTACTTAAAAGAGTCAACTCAAAGATAATGTAATCAATCACTCTACTCCAGTTATCGAAACTGAAAACTCACTCACTCTGAAAACGAATGCTCAAAACAAATTATTTGTCTGCTCAAGTACACAAAATATTTTCTTCATAAGAAATACATTGGAATTTTGATGGCCTGTGGGGGAAAGCCCGAGAACTCTTATTACAGGAAATGGTAAAAGGTCCACACAAAAAATATGTAATTTTGACACGTCGTTTGAAAAAATCTGTCCATTATTAATGGAGGAGTAGTGTTTTGTAGGAATCGCATTCACGTGTTATATATAAGGATACTCAATTTTTCAACTTTTACGATAAATCTCCATCAATCACTTACATCTTACTTTGGACTTTCTAGGTTATGCGAGCGGACGAAGAAAAGCGCATGGCTGAGAGGAAGAAGCAGGAAGAAGAGAGAAGACAGCGGGAAGTAGAAGAGAAGAAACAGAGAGACATCGAAGAGAAGAGACGGCGCTTGGAAGAAGCAGAAAAGAAGAGGCAAGCAATGATGTCTGCCCTCAAGGTAGGAAATGAAATAAAGTACTAGAATATGGTTTGTTATTGCAATATCATGTGGAAATTACCAAAGTGTTCATGATTGTGTTGATAGCAATACACATTGGGAAATTAACCAACGAAAGAAATTGTATGAATTTAGAATGTCCCAAAAGAAGGCCTTTATATATTTTCACCTAGCTTTTCTGAATCATTTACACTATGGGAAGAAAGTAGAATGTGTTTTCGCATTTTGAGCACATTTTCAGACTTAATTTTACAAAAGCATTATCTTCTATTGTTGCGCGTAAACTATCCATTTTAGAATCCATGTTTTTTTCTACCAGTGTAAACTGTATATATTGTAGTAATGCAGTTATTTAATCCAATCATGCAAGAAATATTTCCTTTTTACAGGATTAAAATGGAATCAGACTTCAAGAAAACACAGACCTCATTCAAAATTACCAATTAATAATATTAAATTTGTTAAATTCTCGTAATATGCAATAGCTTTTACAGAAATTACTTTTCAACACTAAACATTAGTATATTTTTCTAAATTATTTAAAACAAATAACTTTATTTATTATCTAATAAATAACAACCAACAAACAGTAGATTCTTACTGTTAAAGTACACAAGAGGTTTTAAGCCTTCGATATAAGAACTCACATTTTTCGATATTCATCATATTTTTTTTTATGATATTACTCAGAAATTGCTTAGGATTTGCAATTAGAGATTTGCAATTTTTTAGAGACTTTGAGTGCAAAAGATGTTTTATTTCGGCTTTCCAAACTAAGTTTTTCGTCCACACAAGGTTTTCGTCTTTTATCAGCTTTAGATCCTTAAATTATCTTCGATTGTAGAGTTTTATTAGAATTCAATAAATCTGTAAGTAGGTGATTATAATGAAATGGCACAAAAGTTATATGAACCCTTGGATTTCTTTCAACACCCTTCCAATGCTTTCAATCCTGGTGCTTTGTAAGTATGGCTTCTCCTGCTGTTAAATTCCTGAACCCTCAACAAAAATCTGTGATGTTGTTTGGATAACTTTTTTTCTGAAAACACAAATTTGTTTCTGGAGCCCAGTTTTAGCACGTTAGTGTGTGAATATTTCAAGTCACCAAAGAAAAACATCTGAACTGAAATGTTTTCTAGTATTTTATTCATATCCCGTATTAAAATTAATTTTGTTTGCACTTTTCAGAATGTAATTTATTTGAGTAGAGGTTATATTGATTAAAACAAATCGCAACATTTGAGGATAGTTATATTATTATTGTTATTTACAATTTATGTGTCTTTAAAAGAAAATCTATTTCTGTAAAACATAAATTCACAAGTAAAATGTTTGTAACGTCTCTAGTGTGGTATCCTAAAACTAGTTTACCTTTGAAATATGATTAGTACAGTACAAACGAAATCGTACACCTTTGAAATTTGCACTAGCCAAAAATGTCTTAGTTTTGCACCATGGCATGATTTATCAGTAGATAGTGTTATTTGTTTTCATGCGTGTTTTATTGTTAATATAATCATTATATTGATATTTCAGGGTACGGTGGTGAGTATCTATTGACGAAAGTTGACACACAAAATAAGTGATCATTTTCAACGACAATTTAAATTTTAATCCAATCTTGATATACATTACATTTAAATTCACACATTACACCAACATCTCCACGAAAGGTAAGGCGTTGAAGTAAATGTACAAGCTATCACTTTTTCCACCTCACCTAACATTTCAAAATGTGTTTATTCTTCATATTACCTTCTTTCGCTTTCTGTGCTTCACAATAGTTTATTCAGAACACCTGTATTATTACTTGCAATTTATTACAAAGTGTCATAAACAGTGTACAAGCGCTTTTCTTCACAACAATTTTCATCTGTATCTCTATAAGCTGTGCAATCTTTGGTACTATCGCTGTATTTATTCAAGTGTCTGATTTTGAAATGTTTTTTATACTTGGTATAAATTTACGCTTCAGTAAATAATGTGTATATAGAAAACGCCGCTCAAATTCTAATGTGTTGTGTAGAATATTGTATCGCTATGCCTTGTATTAGTAATTTGACTTTATAAGCTTTCAGCGAAGTTTTAAGGTTTTTTGCTTAAGTTGACTTTTTAAATGTTGTATGATGATAAAGTTTCTTAAATTTAGTTTTTATTTGCAATATGATAATTCAATGTTTATTGTCATCTTTATGATAAAAAAATAACTATGTTATTTTTATTTAAGATCAAACTAATTGTTTCGACAAAAGTACTGTATGTCTTACAAAGCATAATTGGAAATAGAATTTCAAAATTTTATCGCCTGGAAAGGAAATCAAGATTAAACTCAAGGGAATCTTAGAGCTAGACTATAATATTATTTTGAGTATAATTGATTTGATATGTTTGCAGGACCAAGGCAAAGGAAAGGGACCCAACTTCACCATTAACAGGAAGACTGATGTAAGTTGTAAATACTTTTCAAAATTAAATAACTTATTCTATATGTAGTTTAGTAAGTAACTTCTGAAAATTTTGTACTTAATAAGAGTATAAACATAATCCTCTATTTCATGCAATCTTGGGATACCAATAATTCAAAAAGCATAAGAATCCACATCTAAATTATACCTGCAAAAAGGTAAATTCCTTTTTAGTTTGCAAAGATCCAACCAAAACATGTATAGTTAGAGTTAATCAAAATATTTGAACAAGAAAAATATATGGCAATATTTTATAATTGATTATGAAAATTCAAACTTTAAATAAAAAGTGACAAGCTTATTAGTAGGATAAAAATTACTGCAGACACCCCTAAATAATATTTGGTAATGAATAGGTCTATGTATTTTATATATGTCACTTGAAATAAAATATCTTGACAAACTATTTGTTTTTTTTCTAATAGGTATAAAATTAATAATGTCACTACTTTCTTGCATTGTTTATTGCTATTGCCAACAGCCATGTGCTAAACCGTATACAATAATGTAGGAGTAATATTAACTACCAAAATTCATACTGTCAAAACAAACTGGAATAAAACAATTGTGGTTTCTAGATGAACCTGTCATCAGCACAAATTGAGAGGAACAAGACCAAGGAACAGTTGGAAGAAGAGAAGAAGATCTCCCTCAGTATCAGGATCAAGCCCTTGAGCATCGACGGACTCAGCATCGACAAGCTGAAAGGCAAAGCTCAGGAGCTGTGGGACCAGATCGTCAAACTGGAAACAGAAAAGTACGATCTGGAAGAGAGGCAGAAGAGACAGGACTATGACGTACGTGCTTTGAAAAGTAAAATTTGCAAAATTAAATTGTACCAAAGTGGATTACGTTGATTTAGAATGAGTTAAATTCAATTTCCATCATACTGTCCGAAAAGCAGCCTTTTTTTGTTCTCTAATTCGCCCACAAAATCATGGTTTTTGGGTAGCTTCAAATAGGGAACAGAAAAAACTTATGGTAAATTTTTCGGTTCGCTAACCTCTAAATTTTATAAGTGCATTATGAAAACGCTGCTAATCACCATTATGTTTATAGAAAATTGAAATGTAAACATTGATGACGACTTGTATAACCTCAAGAGGTACACCCCTCCCCCTTGAGAGGGGGGGAGTTACCTTAAGTTATGTCTTCTAAGTTTGTATCCACACAGCATTTCCACAGAAAATAGTTGTTCATCACACGGAGCAAACATGTGTTTTTAGTACTTAGTCGTATTTTGTAAAATACAATTGCGTACCAAAAAGAGCCACTTTCGCTCCTAGTGATGAAAACTACTATTTCTCTACAGTATAATCAAATTTTGTAAGAATAATGAAGAGGTTTAGTAAAACTTATTTTTTTTAGATAACAGTTTAATGAAAATACTTACCATAAAGAATTTCATTGTGTTACAAAAGTTATAAATACTACAAGATGAACTTGCTTAACAACATTTTACTATTCTAAAAAAACCCTCCAATTTTTTATGGGGTTCCTGCAACATTCATTACAGGAGTTTATGATTCTCGATTGACTGGTTTTTTAAGACAGCCAAGACATTGATATAGACAACTTGGATAAAAACTTAACCCTTCCCAGACCGCCTATAGTATGTAAACAGACAGCAATATTATTTTGGATAGAAACTAAAATATTTTTTCTATCTATAATTTATAGAATGCTGCAAATATTCGACTTATGCAGCTCTTTTGTACAAAATATTTTTGTATCTTTTTTAATGCAAAAATTCGTGTATTACATTTTTAATTTTTTTTTGTATTCTTTTTTTAAATTTTTTTATTACATTTTTTATTTTTTAAATTTAGTTTTCTTATTTTTCTAAAAAAAAAACATTCCTCGTACATCGGTTAAAGATATAATTGAACAAAAAAATTGTTGTACGAGATTAATGTTGTTATAGACAATCAACTATAACAATAACTGTCATAATAATCAGCAAATATATCTGCCAACCGTCTGCTATGTACAAAATGCTGGCAAATATATCCGCCTGTAGTCTGGGAATGGTTGATACTTCACTTTAGAAATAATAATTAGTTAATAAGCTATTACATGTGCGTTCAAGCTCTCATAGTATTTTCTGTTTATATGTAACCAATTTTCGTTCTGATTACAGCTTAAGGAGCTGAAGGAGAGACAGAAGCAGCAGCTCAGGCACAAGGCTCTCAAGAAAGGTCTTGACCCTGAGTAAGTAAATTTTAATTAATTTGTTGGGCTATTGTCATTTAAATCAATTGAAACATTGCCATTATGTGTTGTTTAACTATACACTTAAATTAAAACATAATTATAGCTTGGTAAAGAGACTTTAATTTAAAACAAAACTGAATTAGTTATGCGTTCATGTAGTTAATAGTAGTTTACGCAACGATCTCATTGCCACTGACATTGATACAATGAAACATTGTACCAAACACTAATTGCACCACTCAACAATTAAATTGGCCTGAACAGCTGATTAGTTGAAGTTCGAATCATTACAATTTCACTTCTTCTCTCTCAATCCTTGAACCTCATTGGCCCATTACCTGTGTTGTTATGTAATACTATGCTGTTATAAAAGTAAACAATGCTGTTATGAGAAACATTTCAACTCTAAGAACTGAACTGAAACGGCTACTTAGAAAAAAAAAATGGTCGTACCTAAAGTACGTTAACATTGCGAAACTCATATATATATATTCTGGTATTATTTATAGACATACATAGATTTTTGTACAAGGAAGATGAAGGAAACAAAGATTTTTACTTAACATGATGTGTTTAGGACCTAAACTCTCTCAATCTTACAAATGGTGTAATATATTAACAATTTATTCTTTTCTTTTTCAGAGCCCTGACAGGAAAGTACCCCGTAAGTAAGATCGATTAAATGTTATGATTTACATGGTGTGTTTATAACCTTGCCAACGTAATTTTACATTACCTATTAGAAAAATATAAAAGTATCAATAAATTGATAGACTGTGCGAAGAGCATAGTAAATCTACAAACAGTAAAATCCTTAGGATAGTCATGGTTTTAGTAAATAAGTTGACGTAAAACTATTTTAAAGATGTAATTTTTAATGATACAACCTACTTATATTTTGATTTAATGTTAGTTATACTCTAGTGTAGTTAACCAAGTACTATACCAGTTTTAACCATACGGGTCAAGTTTACAATAATTATTATGCTTTACCTCAGCCCAAGATCCAGGTCGCCTCCAAATATGAGCGGCGAGTGGACACCAGGTCGTATGACGACAAGAAGAAGCTCTTCGAGGGCGTAAGTATTTGTCAATATATTTCAATTAATTCCTACCTTCTATACTGTCTTTTAAAAATAAATAACTAAACAAATCCTTCAGCTATTTGGCTGATAAAAGAATACATAAAAATACAATGTCTTTCACAACAATATGTACTCTTATGTCCATAAGGATGTTCATTTTGTCTACAATATTTTAGATTTTCGTTGTTGTTTTGTAACTAAAAATTCCGTACCTACCTATTGTAACTAACCCATTCACAAAAGAATTTTCAAGACATTCTCGATTGTGCAAGAAAATCATTGAATTCTACATTTGTTGTAAAAAAAAGTTGTATAGATAAATTTGACGAAGCAAGCCATTGAAGACAGTTATAAACAACCCTGCTGAAGTATATTTTAAAATAATACAAACTATATTTGTACCTTTACTAGTATTTAATAGAATAAAAATGTTTTTCACAAATTTATAAAATGTTTAAAATTATTCAAAATTAAAATAAAATATTTTTAAATGATTAAAAATATATTTTATTTTTTAAATTAAATAATTAAATAATTTATTTAATTTATATTCTTTTTAATTATATTTAAACATCATATTTATCTTTTAATTGTATTTGTATCTTAACAAATGATATTTATTCATATTAATTTATTATTTGCTAAAAAAATATATAGAAACATTCTATAAAATGTTGTTTAAATTTATTTAAAATTACAATTAAAATTAATTATTTTAAAATTATTAAAAAAATAATTTAATAAAAATTAAAGAATTAAATTATTTTTTAAATTTATTCTTTTTAATTATATTTAAACATTATATTTATCTTTTATTATATTATTTGTATCTTTACAAATTATATTTAATTATATTTAATTTATAATTTAATAAAAATAATATATAAACATTTTATAAAATGTTGTTTTAAATTTATTTAAAATTACAATTAAAATTAATTATTTAAAAAATATTAAAAAAATAATTTAATAAAAATTAAAGAATTAAATTATTTTTAAAATTTATTCTTTTTAATTATATTTAAACATTATATTTATCTTTTAATTATATAATTTGTATCTTTACAAATTATATTTAATCATATTTAATTTATTATTTAATAAAAAAATATATAAAGATTTTTATAAAATGTTGTTTTAAATTTATTTAAAACTAAAATTATAATTATAATTAAATATTTTAAATCATAAGAAAATCTACTTATAAAAAAATTAAATTATTTGTTTAATTTATTCTTTTTAATTATATTTAAACGTTATATTGATCTTTTAATTATATTTGTATCTTTACAAATTATATTTGTCCTAATTCATTTTAATGAAATTAACTTAATTATTTTATCTTTTTTTCCTTTTATACGCTCATTACCAAATATTCATGTGGAAATGTCACAATAAGTATTTCATAGCAATACTATGAATTAGCAATTTACTACAGATAAATTTAAATTTATTTGCGATAATAATTTTGATCTATTACATTCATTAATAACTAGGCTACATTTTTTTTTTTATTTACTTATGTCCGTAGTTTGTGTATGTAGCACAGTAGAATTAAAATGTTGTTCTTTTATTGACCGATATTTGTGTTGATACAATTAGGGTTGGGAAACTCTTCTCTCAGAGCATAATGAGAAATCTTGGAAGAGTAAATACGAATCGTTTGAAAAGCGTAGCAGAAGTAAGTATTTGTGGTATAAAGTGTGATAGGGTTTTCCCGGACCCTAGCATGCTCCCTAGAACTCCATAAACCTACCTAAGATGACTTAGATAGGCGGTTTGGTCCCAATGTATATGTAGCCTCTGTTGTTTGAAATGGCTGCAAATATTTTCACAGTTTTTGTCAACATTGATAAAGAAATACTTAAGATTTTGAATATTTTTAAATTTAATTGTGTAACGGTGAACTGAAAACGATTTAGAATAATAAAAGTAACTCGGTATTTCAAAATCAAGTACCTAGAAATCGATTGTAATTCAAACAAAGTTAAACTGTTTTGCTTCTAATATCCTCTATGGGTCAGCAATGATCAGAGTGACAAATGTGATGATATTTACAGCCACTAAATTGTATATAGATTCAGAATATACTAACGAATGTTCTGAAAGTGTTTAACGTGTGTGGGTGTGAATATGGTTCCACAGGGACTCTTGGAGCAGACTAAGGAACAAATGGAAAAGCAGTGGACGGAGAAGACCTCTCAGTTCGGTGGACGACCCAAGAGTGAGTTACCAATAGATGCCAATTAACACGCTTTGGAATCATTACGGACCAAGTTTGCAGTACAACATTCACAACATATCAGTTATAAGTGCAATATGAAATAATACACACAATAAGCTTAAAAGTAAAGTTGATGGTTGATTAGTTTGGTTCGTATTTACCTTAGATTTAATTTGTAAAATAAATCGGGGGAGCGAGCTGATCTAGTGTGCTTCGGTGCCCGAGGTCCCCGGTTCAAATCCCGCAAATCACCAATGGATTTTATCTATGGTATAATGCAGCAATTCTCTAGGACTAGCCTGAAGTAATGTGTAAAGGTGAGGGGAAAAAATTGCAATATAAATTATTGATAAGTGGGCCGGATTGCTAAAAGGGTTTATAAAAGGGAAATTGATTAAAACTTTGCCTATAGATAATATTTAGAAACCAATGTACCGGTATCAACTTGTTTAGTCTTCATTCGAAGATTTCTGAATAGTTACCAAAAACAAAAAACTTTTCTTCTTTGCCCAATTCCAACATAAAACCATTTTATTTAGGATAGGTAGGCCTATTGCTAATTTATACTATAAATCCAAGCTTTATACTAAGGAAATAGTAGCTAGCCCATGTTTAAAATAAAACATGTAATATTTAGACTATGTAAAAGCATTTTATTAGGTAGTTTTACTTTTGTACATTTTTACTGTATCATAATGTTAAACCATTTTCATCAAATCTTAGCTTTTAATGTTGCTTTGCCAGTTTTTATTTTTACGTCAAATGTACCTAATGTTTAACAGCTTTTGTCAGCATAGTTGCTGGTTTTTTCTTCTTTTCTTTCTTCAAGAGATCATCAGATAACAACTCACAACCATCTTCTTGCTGTATTTTACTCTATTAGTAATTACGTCTTCTGCTCTTGTTAATAATATAAGCATTGTAATTAATTACTTGTTTATGTTAATTTGTAAGAGCCAATTACCAATATAATTCTATTTTAGTGTATATCTAATCGGTTAGTAATAATCGGATCGGAGCTTATGTCATTTATCATTAGGTACAATGAAAAAGAAAGTAAACAAATATTTTACTCATATTTTGAAGTTATACCCAGTGTTGATACAACAATAAATCATTGTGTATTTGATATTCCTCCCAAAATGGAAGAAGTATAATTCTTATTGATGGCTTTTAAAAATCGGTCCTAGCTAAAGAAGACGTTTATCTGTAAAAATACACACAAGGTGTCATAATTATAATATTTGGTTGAAGGCCGGCTAGAATAAACCACTTGAAAATATTCTATTAGATTAGCTACAATGTGTTGACAAACTTATCAAATGGAATAAGTTGTGAAAATTTCTACAAAATTGTTTTCAAACTGTCCACTAGACTTTCTATCACAAATAGTTATTAAATTCAACTCAAGGAAATAAGCCGGAATAATTGTGGATACAATACATATTCTAAAAGATTTTGAATAAAATCATTAATAGTGTTTTATTTTACCATCTTCGTATTTGCTTCTTTAATTGTTTGCATTTGTTAACACGAAGAAACACTTTTGGTAATTAGCTCTTAAACCTTTAAGGATGGTTAAGAATGGTTTAAGCCGATGGTTTTTGTATGTTACTTTCATATCAATAAAACTGTATTTTTATCTCATTTGTTGTGTGATGTATTTGATTTTATTGTGTGTATGTGCATGTTAAGGTTTATGTGTTTGTTTACTTTTGATTCATAGAAATGGTTAGTGTGTTGTTGTTAAATGCTTTTAATTTTGCTCAAAAGCTCTTATCGCCAACTTAATACAATACCAGCTACAGCCCAATCAGCTGTTTATTCCCCAATCAGCTGTTTATTCCCCAATCAGCTGTTTATTTTCAATCAGCTGTTTGTTCCAATCAGCTGTGAAGGCACAACTGTACTTGAGTAGTATTGAGGTCTTAACTGCTTCATGTTTATTTTACAGTTATCATTTTTGAATCCTTGAAAACATCCATTAGTTTGTAATTCATATTTTAATGTTGGATAATAAAACTTTGTTTTTAATAGGAAAACTAACAGACAAAAATTACCCTTTGTACATGGTTAATTTCTATTACATGCCATATATATTTTTTTAATTATACATTCCTAAATCATAGACCAATATTCTCCATTCTCAAGTAGTGGATTGTAACAGTCTAAGATAAAACGCAGTTATTTTGAAGTCCATAATAAAGACTTAGTGAAAATTGTGATATCATCCAGAGCAAAACATGTTTCTTACTAAACATATAAGTTAACTTATGAAAAATGAACTACATTTTAAAATTGGAAACACTTATAGCATTTTTATTGGTACATAACTATTTTAAGTTTTGTGATCCAAATTTTAAAGCAATCAAATCCTGGATAGAGTTATCTACAAGAATGTCCAACGGAATTAGCAACAAAAGATTGGCAAAGGTCCTTAAATACCTCAAAATTAAAAAAAATGGGTTCTAATTATGGTGAAAAATGCAAAATTTATTTCAATATCACTTTTTAAATTTAAATTGAAATGTATTACAAATTTCTACTTTAGAAAATACAGTTTACTATTATAGTTCTTCTCGTACTAAACTTAGTCGATTGTATTTTAGCCAAGCTGCCCAAGTGGTTCGGAGAGAGGCCCGGCAGGAAGCCCGGAGACCCCGAGAGCCCAGAGGAAGAGGAAGCCGGCAAGGCTGAGAAAGAAGAGTACGAACCTGAGCCTGAGGAAGAAGAGGAGGAAGTCGAGGAGGTTGAGGAAGAGGAAGAAGAGGAGGAGGAGGAGGAAGAAGAAGAAGAATAAACGCCATCTTACGAGGTACAATCATTGTTTATAAAATAGAACTGTGTTAAGAGATTCCTCATACACGGAATATTGAAGATGAACTGTAGACAATTGGTACTTAAGCAGTAATAGTTTGTAGAAAGTTAAGTATATTGATTTATAACCTAAAATTGTCTATGAATATTGAACAACTTTTTTGTAAGGAAGAGAAGGTACTCTCTTAAAGAGGATGTAGAAAAAAATGTGTAAATTAAAAAGAATGTATTTTATACTTTGAAGGGAAATGTAAAAATAAGGTAAAAAAGGTAAAAAGGAAGGAAAAATACTCTAAAGCTCTTATGTTTCTCGTATTTTTTGTTATCTTATGCTCTCAGTTTATCGAATTAAGTTAGACATCTCACTTGTATCATAGTTTGACCTGTTTACAAGAGATTTTTGTGAAAATCACCTTACATGATGATGGTTGTTTTTACCAAATAAATGTTTCATTACTATCAACCCACTTTTTGAAATTAGAAAGTAGTAAAGAATTCAACATTCTTTCATAAAAAATAAAAAATTAAAATTAAAAACTCTCTTAAAAGACATAACTAACATAATTTATCTTTAATATGACCAGTGTTATATGGGGGGAATTTGAAGGAGAAGACCTCGGTTTAAATAAAGCAGATATATTCTACACGTTAAAATGCAAAGACAGCAGATGTTAAAAGGAGTTTTCATATTTTACTCTGCTCCCCACTACATTTTACCAATACTATTTTTTCTAGTTCCTTTTGGGTTGAAACCGTTAAACTCATTCCTCGACCTCAGGTACACAAATTGTTCCTGACTACATCCTTAGGCATATCTTCAAAAATTAATACAAAAGGTAGTGTTATGAAAGCAATTTCTTCTTCCTCCAAATAGTTTTCTTCAACATGTGTTTGAATTTTTTCAGATCAAATCTCTCCAACTGTACAGCTCGTGAGCTCTTCGCAGCCAGCTCGCCACTAACACCAGCCAACGGACCAATCCATGTCAGAATAGTCTTCTTCTTCTCTTGTACATTACACTGTTTGGGTTCTAACCGGGAGCAAGCAACGCCATCTCGCTGTGTAAATCTCACACTTTCTTTCATTAAATATTGTTCGCCAAATTTAAATCTTATTTCCTTCAACCTTTGGAATGACACTAACCAGTGTGCAAATTTATTAATTGTTTAAAAATGTACAAATTATTTCAGATGTGTAAAAATAAAGATTTTTTGACATATATGGTGACTGTTTGTTCAGGGAAAATATCAACCCTTGAACCTTTCCTTTACACAATCCTAAGTTATTGTGGTTACATGAACTGTTTTTGGATGATAATATTTTTATTGCCAGTGAGCTATCTCACAATACTCCGTGGCATTCATGGCAATGAATAAACAATACACACTATCATAGATAAAACAGCTGAAGCCAATGTTATTGTTAATTCCATCTGGTTTTCTGTAGAAGTTATGTTTTGTTTACAATTTGTTTCTATTATTTTAGGGTTAGTTTCTCATTATTTGTGTCTCACTGCTTGGTTGTATAGCTAGTGGACGAGTTATTGTTTATGATTAGATACTTTTATTTGGTTAAACGAGGTTTTAAATTACTGAAATAACAAGAAACAAATTGTAAACAAATCACGACATCTACAGAAAACCGGACAGAACTAACAATAACATTGGCTTCAGCTGTCTTATAAGGATGGGAAATCTACTAAGGGACTATGTTTTATCATAGACTAACCAACACAAGTAGATTTCTCATCCCATTGTAAATTTTGAAGCACGTTTTTCGTGTCTAGTTCATGTACGTGACACATGAGCGCTAATGTCGACGAAACTTTGTTTCTATTATTTTAGGGTTAATTTCTTGACTTGTGCTTTACTGTTTGGTTATATAACTAGGGGACAAGTTATTGTTTATGATTAGATCGTATTATTTGGTTAAACGAGGTTTTAAATGGCTGTAATAATGGGAAACAAATTGTAAACAAAACACGACCTCTACATAAACCGTACAGAACTAACAATAAAATTGTCTTCAGCTGTTCCATAAGGATGAGAAATCTACTAAGGGAGTATGTTTTATCTATGGTTTTATCTATGACACTATCTAGAAAAATTATAATTTATGGCACAAAACCATGAATTTAATAAACAACAGTACATACGACTATATTTCTATTGTAGCCTCAGAGGTGCAGAACAAGTAACCCTTAAGTATTGGTGTTAAGCAAGTAACCCACATTATTATTCTTTGACAACAATTTTTTCACAAAATTTATTTCTGGTTCAATGTTACATTATTCACAGAAGTCAGAAAAAAATAAAAAATGAAAACTACGGTACATAAATAACATTGCGTGTTCACTCAGACTTGAGACACCCTGTAACATAGTAAGTAAATAGATGCAGGTGACATGTTCAATTTTCTTTAGACATCGTCCAACAAGTCTTGGAGAAGCCTTTGCCGTAATCTTCTATTTTATGTTGTTTCGCCAAGATTGAAAGACAGTGCTCCAGGAACATTGTTTTAGACAAGTGAAAAACCGTTGTGAAGCAACCTAAATCTATTTTCATCCCGGTTATCTGACCTCTTCAGGGAGCGTATTTAGGAATTTAACTTCTGTTTGATAGGCGGGCTTAAGTCTTTCAGAGATATGTTTTTAAACAGCCAGCACATAATATTTCAAGCTGACACATGATCCATAGTCAATCATATTAAGTAAAAAGATTGTGGCTATGTTGATATAGTATATTTTAAAGTTATAAAAAATATTTCTTTATTCAGGGACAAGCAATAGTTTTCAAATAGTTTATAACTACTTATATTACTTATTGTCTCTATACAATTTGGGTGAATATCAATTCTGTTTATAGCCATTTCTGAAAGTAAAAAAAAATATTAAAATATAACTACCAACTGTGTCTACATACTTTGGAATTCTATGTCACAGATTTGATGATTGTGCATTCAAAGACAAATAGCACAAGTTATCCTTAAACAAATATTTCAAACACATTTTTAGGATATAATTAAATATAGGCTATTTGAATATTGTAAACCTCGTAATTTATAACAACTAACGATAAACCTTGAGGAAATTGATTTGGACTTCATTAAAAATCAACCCCATCCAAGATAGGGATGTTGTAATTGTGTTTCTGAACCAAGACATCCTTATTTACAATAACATGGCCTCCCACGTGCAACATGAATATTTAAATATCTCAACAAGGAAAGAAGAAAAACACAAGATAGTTTATTTTGAAGGAATGACTTGTGATATTAGGTATATATTGTGTTTAGTATTAAATCATTGATAGATCAAATATTTTGAATGTATGGGCCATGATGGAACTTCAGTGAAGCAATGTCTTATTGGTATCAATACTTCTTTGTGTTTTTTGAGGGGTTTTATGGAGTAAAAATTGGGTTTTCCCATTTTAAACCCTAAAAACATAAAATTACCTAATTTCTCTGTAACTATATTGAAGAGCTTAAAAAATAATTTAGTACATTGAAGTGTTTTTGTAGTGTTATTGGTAACGGAGAAAATTCAAAATTCACATGTTATTCTTATGGAGAATAAGTCAACTGTTGTATTTTGCATGATTATGCATATATTTTGATTAAACTTTGCAAATTTATTTATTCTATACTAAGCTGCAGTACTAATCTTTTACTAAAAAACACATTTCATTCCCTGTAGCAGCAAACCTAGGTGCTCATTAAACCTATGAACCTAATGAACCTATGAACCTCATCAAACCTAAGGGATGCTCCCTGGTGTGGATTAACGTCTGCACTAGTGAGTACTACGACTCCTGATAATTAGACCAATTTGTTAATTACAAGGAAAAAAATTTGGTTCGGATTCCACTATAAACTGTATGTCCCTTAGTTGCCATCGGCTGTATGGACTATTAATTAGCTGTCTTAGGAACATGTCGCAATAAGTTTTTTGTTATTTAGCTTTCTTGATGAAATGTTACAATAATTTTATTTAAAATGACAATATTTCAAAAACCAATTAAGAAAATGAAAAACCAATTTCTGTATCACAACAATACATTCATATTTATTACTGGAACTCTTCTACATATCATTTTGTCTAAATTCCAATAAATAGGTATTATGGTAAAACATACAATGTGACATAATTATTAACACAAACAAGTTTTAGAAACAATATTTTTGTTGGGTTATTTCTTAGGCAAAATCAGCGGACAAATTAAAAAATATATATGTAAAGTTTATGTCTTTTTTGCTCTGGGATGAAAAGGAACTGCTTTAGCTCCGCAACACATAATGTATTAAAAAATCATTGCTACAGTATACATACTGTACACACTCTATGGCAAAATGTTAAACGTATATTTTAGCACTAACGCATAAAGTGACTCTTTTATTATCCGAGCTCAAGATTCACGGAAAATGAGCAAGGGTTCAATATGTTGAACAATTGACAAGAATGCAACAATAAGCAAGCTACAACCGATTAAATCAATCTATATATGATTATGATTCATGCCACTGCTTACGATTAAAGTTTAAAACAGCTGACTTTTACTCCCTAGGGACTAAACAGGCGGCTTTTTACTCCCTAGGGTCCCCGCACATATGTATTAAAAAACCACTGTTTTTGCTGCAGTATGACAAAAACACCTTTATTGAAACGTAAGCAGCAATTATGTGCAATGTGCAAATTCCGTTACAACAAAAACTAATCACTATGCTTCAAAAAGCTCTACCTCAAAAAAAAAAGAAAAAAGAGGTTAAGTCCTAGGTCCCTAGATTAATAAATAAATTTAAATAAGACAATAGTAATCCTATTCCCAAATACAGTAAATGTATTATACAGGGTGTTTTTAAAAGAATGCTGGGATTTTAAATGGTAATTGCTTGGATACTATTCAAGGTAACTAAACGTTTTATACGTCAAATTGAAGCTAAAATAACTAAGTTTTGTTTCCCGTGCAGCAAGGGAGGAAACTTTGACCTTGGTACGCGTAAAACAGTTTCGGCGTGATAGGCCGCTATTGTGACTCATATGTCTGACGCCAGTCGCCAGTACGACGTTTACGGCGCAACAGAAGGCACAGATTGTAATCTGTAGTTCGCAGAGGTTATATCCATTGCAAAATTAAATAAATTTAAATATACTTGATGATAAAGAAACTTGATGCTGGTTTAATGAGTTTTGTGGCACCGAAGTGTTTTGAAAAGACATTCAACCGGCCGGCTAAAAACAAACGATGACATAGTCGAAGAAATCCGACATTTCTGCATCATAAGCCCGAACAATCGATTGCCCGACGAAGTCTTCAGTTTAAAAAACCTAAATTGGTCACTTTATGTTGTTATCTATAAAAGATAGAGTTTTTGTATCGAAAAAATCAGTTAAGTCATCAGATTAACATGCCGATCGCCCTAAGCGTACAGACTTTGCCAGTTTTACGCTCATTTAAGATTGATGAAATCTGAATGTTATTATATCATTCCGAATTGTATGAAAGAATGAGAAAAAAAACTTTATTCTTTTCCCTTCAATTTGACGTTTAAATCGTTTAATTATCTTGAATAGTCCCTGAGCAATGACCGTTTGAAATCCCGGCATTCTTTTAAAAACACCCTGTATTTAAATATCAGCATAAGTTAAATGATCAATGATCTAGTGGTTTTTGAGTGATGAAATTGCTGACATTCATTTTTATTCATTCTTATAACGGTTAAACTGCACTAGGATCAAAAACGATTAAAATGGTTCGTCCAGAACTTGTTTGTATGTAGGCTGAAGAGTTCAACATCGTCTACAGTCCAATATTAGACTTGGCAGCTTCGCTCTTCCCCTCTGCTGAGTTAAAAATGGAGCGGCTTACTTTAAGTACACTTGCCATCGTATTTTTGTGAAATATAGCTTTAAATTTATATATAATACACAACTAGGAGCTAAGCCATACGTTGCAAAGATGTGTGGTGATGATAAAATTATAATGTTTGTCCTTTAAAGTTGTAATACCTTAACTGATATTAAAATATTACTTTAGCCCATTCACAAAATGTAGGCGGTTTGAGGGGAAGTTTTCCTGGGTTCCCCACCACTTTTTTCTCAATGTACGTTTGTGATGATTTCTAATATTTTTTGTTATATATATGGATCAGCTGTCCTAGTTTATATGCATTTTACTTGTTTATTTGTTGTTATTCTGTTTAATGATGTTGGTTTTTAAT